GTCGAGTGCCATGGGTTGCCTACTCCACTATTTATATTCGGGGATAAGTGACACTATCTTTCTGATCAGCACGAGCAGCCATTGTTTAAATAGATTAGTAATTATCTTATTTCTAATCAAATTTGTTTCTTCTTTTATTTTTTTTTCTGTGCATATTTAGAAAAAATGGTCACGAAAAGTATAAGCAGTCATTCACACGTAGAATTGACCATTAAAATTAATAAAAGCGACCTTGAGTATAAAGGTGCGTGAGTAACTTCGTCAATTATTCTAACCCAGTTTCACCGATATCCAGCTTGTCAATCTTCACGGTCATAACATCACTTTCGGCATTTAAATAGGCGAAACGAATATTTTATTGTGCAGATGCTTGATAATATTCATTTAGGCCATGCGGTGCGTTTTTCCTCGACACAATTAAGTTGGGAAATTGGACTATTAATAAATATAGGTTAATTATTATTAAGGACAATGTAAAATTGTTTATTGGATAAAATTATAGTGTAATATTACCTAAAATAAGGATTGCGGATACTCAAAATATGTATGTGAAAAATAGTATCTAGTTATACACTCTGACAAATTGTTTTAGTCAAATGTAACGTGTAATATTTACTTTTAGCCTTATTTTCATGAAATTTTTAGCAAACTGTATATAAATATATCAACTTTAATTCGTAGTTATTTCTAAACTTAAGTATTCTACCGGGTGCGTCTCAAAAGTGGCTCACCCTTATAACTTTTTTTATTTTTTCAGATAAAAAAACGAAATTTGGTATGTTAGTATATGACATAAATTAGGATTGATTGACGTATTCAATAGTTTTCGGTCACTTCCTGTTACACCGGAAACGACTACAACTTTTGATTTTTAAATGGCACCCTCGGTATTTTTTTTTACTTTATTCGATAGAAAAAAAAATATAATTAAAAAGAGCATTATGCGTTACTTCTAATGCATAGTGTCCTATTTAAAAAAAGTTTATATTTGCTATATACAAGTATTAAACTTCCTCTAGGAGAGGCGATATCTTGTCGTTAGTAGGGGAAGCTCCTAGTCAGGTGCTAGGGGGAATGCCTTCTGACACTTTGGCTGGGCCTAAGAAGCATCTTATTGTCTTGTTCATGGCTGTAGTGTCATGGCCAGGAAATTGCCTCAAGACGTATGACAACGCCGGATAGGACTACCATGTCCGTCGTGCCAGGCGCCCTCTACTGTCCTGTGGCCATGTACCACGGGCAGGGGTTGTGTGTGTGGGGGGGGGTTAGTTTAACTGCCCGGACCAAAAGGAGACAACCTCACCAAAAACAGTCACCTAAATCCTATGATGGCGGGACCAGGTAGCTAGCCTCTACTGGTCTCATTCTTGGAGTACCAGGGGGCACCCCATTGTATTCTCGTCTCCTTTGCTTCTACATGAGAAGCTCTGTAGAAGTGGACCGACTAACCCTTGCGGAGTAATTGACCTCAAACCCAATGAGGCAATAAGAAAGAGGGATATATCCTTCATTATAGATTCGGGACAACACCGCTATCAGGTCTAAGGAGAGACAAAGTTAAAGATGGAAACAAAAAATTTAATTGAACAAAATTTACCTTTATACAAAAGTCAAATGTTAAAGCGCCTTGCAAGTAGAGATGGGTTGTTATTTAACTATCTGTTATTTTATAACAATTATTTATAAATAACATAACGCAACCGTTACTACTTCTAAAAAATAACAGATATAAAATAACGACACGTAGAGTCGGCCGCTCGTGAAAGGAAAAACGAAGTCGGCGCTCTGCATCACCACGAAATTCTATGCTGCTCGAAGCAATTCCAAAAAACAACTAGTATGGATGGAAAACATGTTATTTCGTCAACCATCGATACAGGTGGCGAGAAAACGGACAACGGAGTGGGGAAAGCGCTACGGCGAACGTAGCTGCTTCGGTCGATACCGTCGATAGTCGTATTTACAACAGCTTAAAAATAATAGGATATTATAAAAGAAGCAGGTTTTTTGAAACAGTTGCGGGCATAACGCCTGGCGGTGGAGATAACAGGAGTGGGAAAAGAACGCTGCTACATCGGTCGATTGTCGATGGAGGCTCGCAACGGGTTGGAGAAGCAGTCATTTTAGATATATTGTTTTTCAACCTGTTACGAGCATAACAGGGCGGCGGACGAGATAATAGGTGTGGAAAAGGAACGCTGCTGCATCGGTCGATTGTCGATGGAAGTTCGAAACAGGTTGGGGAATAACGCATCATTTGTTTTAGATACATTCTGTTTCAACCTTTTACGAGCATAACGGACGGAAGTCGAGATATTATGGCGCTGTATGTTTTAGTACTTACTTATTAAGTTTCAATATTTGGGTATTTATTTATTCTGAAGAAAATTTTCAAGAATAATATTTTACTTTTTTAAAAATGTATACAGGGTGTTTTTAAAAATCTGGTCATTGATAATCACGATCCTGCTTAAAGCCCTTGACCTAAAAACTGATTTTTTGGAAAACGGATTGACTTTTTAGTGTGTAGAGGTTCGATAAGAAGGGATTTTTTCGAAACTCCGAATTCTAAGGGGTGAAACTACTCTGAAATATTAGAATATTTTTTATTTAAAAACCGGTGAGTTTTTTCAGGAAACTCTTATAACACGTATATTATTTTATTATGTTGTTTTTACATATTTTAAGATTTTTTAAAAATATATATACAGGGTGTTTCATAAAAATAATATGACCATTGAGTAATTGATTAACCACTATTCTGCTTAAACTGCTGGACGTTTTAAGCTGATTTTTTGCAAACGGATTGACTGTGTTGGGTTCGATAAGGAGGGGTTTGTCGAATCTCAAATTCCAACGCAGGGTGAAAGCACCCTCAAATATTACAATATTTGTTATTTAAAAAAACGGTTAGTCTTTCGGGGGAAAACGCCTGGACACGCATAATTTATTTTGTTTTTTTTTTACATATTTTGAAATTTTTTTTAAAATCATACAGGATATTTCCAAAAAGTTGAGTAATTGATTTACCACGATTCTCCTTAAACTGCTCGACGTTAGAAAGCTTATTTTGGCAAATGTGAGAAAATTTTATCAGTTTGGCATGTTAATGGAAATTCTTGTTTGCTTTATCATCACCATTAGAAATTATTAATTCGACGCGAACGAAGTCGCGGGTACACATAGTTTAAATGTAAAATTAATTCGAACTCTAGTGTTTAGTTGGTTTACTTATAAAAGTATACTCTTCTTACACATTTTCTTATATTGCTATTTTTTGACCGCAAATGGTAAAATCATAACTAATAGCTTCTCGCCCGTCTAGTGAGATGCACCCTGTACACTGCTACGCAATTCTGGATCTACGCGGATCGAGGTGTAGGGCGTAGGTAGATCGCAATATGTAGGTATAGACGAGTGGCGGAATTTTGGCTTTTTATATCGCAATTTGTAAACAGCTCTTATTTGTAAACAACCACTTTTTTTAGAGAGGTATTTTAACAATCGATATTTAGAAATGTTTGACACCCTGGAAATACTACCACCGAGCACGTCATTGTTGCAACTTGCAACCATAAAATAATTAACTAGATAGAAGTGTCAACTCTGTGTTAAATCGTGGAAGCACGATACGCCACCGAAAACCTTCGTTGTCGTCTGGAGAACTAATTTCCCAATTGACAGGTTGACATGATAAGGACATGATGGCTTAATTTTTCATTTCCTTTTCCGGTTATTCAATGGCGGGCCTCTTCAGTTCAAATGCATTTTGTATTTTTTTCTTTTCATAAAATAAGCAAAAATAATTTATTTACATATATTTATTTGAAATATGATTTTTTTTTTTTTTATATAAAAATATTGAGGATTGTATTGTTTCAGTACCAATTAGTTAATTATATGTACTTTTAACGTAAATTAGTTAGGTATAAGCATGACTTACAGTAATTTGTAAATAAACACACATATTCGCAGACTTCAAGGACAGAAAACGGACACAGGGACATGAAAACGAGAGCCTTATACAAAAACCTGAATACAGAAAAACAAATTTTTTTATGAAATTAACAAATAAAAAATATCAATAGGTATAAGATATAAATATACTGTTCTGTTTTAAGCGTCCATTATTTCCAAAAGAGACCTGGCTTATAATCAAAAAGAAGCAAAAAGAGACTTTAGTCGGATAACATAATCAGATTATCAGTCCGATTTATTGCAGTATTGACAATAAATCGCACATATTGGAGATAACTAATGTTGGCTATAGTTAAAAATGATCTTACCTTGCTGTAAAATTGTTTTCCATTTTTCAAAAAAATCGCCAGATCAAAGATTATAACACCATTTTCTTGCATCTAAAATGTAAAAACAGTGTTTATTTACTACCTATTTTTCATATACATGGGACAATACCTACTACTGCAGAAACGTCATTTTCTCCAGGATTCTCCATGTAATATATATTTTTATATACTTATTACCTTTATAATTATAAATTTCAGCCGAAATAAATTGAACTTCAAAACAGAAACTAAACGGAATGAATAAAAATGGCGTCGAATATTTTCGAATTTGTTCTAGAACAAATCTGAAGTTGTCTCTGAAACTGAAATCTGTCAATTCTAAACTGTGAAGTTAGACAATAGTTAGACAAAAACTATGCTGTCCTTGTCTAGGCGGCCATACTTGTCGTGAGGAGAATGACAGGACTGACACTAATGACTGTTTCTAATTTTCCTATTTCACTGTCCCCCCTGCTTGCAACTGCGTTAATACGCCTGGCGATGACCGTCTCATACTCTTTCAGATATTTAGCAGTAAAATAAAGAAACCTGTTATTTTTAAGCTGTTATTTTAAGCTGTTTTTTATAAATAACTATAACAGTTTCAACTGTTATCTAAAAATAACAGTTTTGCCCATCACTACTTGCAAGTAAGCTAGTAGTTGTTTTATATTCACAGAATATCTTGAAAAATTATACAGGGTGATAATACTTCTGATAACCTAAATAATTGTGATTTTAGACCTGAGATCAAGTTATTTACCTTCTACTGATAAGAAAAATATACTTGGAAAAATTCGTGATTACAACAAACCATTGCACACATTGCAAGAAGATTACTATTCGGAGTTGTATGATGACGATAGGAGTCCTACAGGAAAATGGACTAACTCCAGGACTACAAACGGATTTGACGAACTCTATGATAAGAATAAAGATTTGGAAAATAATATTCAAGATTTGCAAATGTAAGTAAGGGTATACCTAATAGTTACATAACAGACCGACACACAGTGGGGTATTTGACACAGATAGTTGATCGAAATTTTTTTACGTAGACCTTATATAAATTATTGCTATTTTCAATTAAAGAGGAAATAATATGAACAAAATAAAGGATAATTTGTCGATTCTAAAAAAAAGAAAGAAAAATCACTGTTCCAGTGTTTCCACGGTCAATGCCACTAATGACAGTAGTAATATCGCAACTAATACTACTAATGCTACGATCCGCGAGCAATGCCCATACCACTAAAGTCGCTACTAATGCCAAATTGTGCTATACTGCTAATGGCACTAATGCGATCGCTTTGTACACAACAATGCCATCGCGGTTTACCTCGCATTAGTATATCACTGATTGGCAAATTAAAGGAAACCAAGAATGTTTTCTCATTTTATCAGCAAAGTCGCAAAAGTCGCAGTATTTTATTTTACTGTATGAAAGTCCAATGTTTACTAAGTAAAACTTATATAGACAATATGCTGAATTCTTCGAAATGCGCAACTAAATCTCTAAGTATAATAAAAAATGTCACAAATTTAATCAAATTTTCTGAACGCCTAACTTTTAGTTGCAAAAAAATCGTTAGTATGAGAATATCCAAAATAAATAATACGTTTTTGTAGAATACATACCTGCAGCTTGTTGAGCCATTTCAATCAAAACAATAATATAAACGTAAAAGGCACAAAAGAACAATTTTTTTTTATTATAATTTTAAACATAAAATTTAGCCATTTGCCTCTTATCTGTGAGAAGTAACAACTTTGACGTTTCGTTGAACCAAATAAATGCAACTAAACACACCCATAGAAACGCCATTCATGGCAGACATGATTTAACTTATAATTTATCTTTTTTTGGGAAATCTTAAACGCATTTGCTTTTTCGAATTTCAGTCACCTTTTTCATGCTAATACCCCACCGTGCGACAATGGTGTCACAGATTATACAGATTATAAACTTTGTTTTTTCTTTATTGTTTTTCGTGGTTCCAATTTTCGGAATCGGACACTAGTTTGGTGACTAGTTTGCGCACATAGCACGCCCACTTATGGCCTCTAAAATTATGCACAGCGCCTGACCGGCACAGTTATTAGAGAGATATCGGAAAACCGAATAGAGTCATGCAGTATTTACGCGTACCTTATCATGGTTACGATATGCGCGTGTCAATTTTTAACGCAACGTTACCGCCTGACGTTATTTGCGGATCAATTACACCAAGGGCTCTTTCTAAATAACGTTTAAAAATTGCTTAAATGGGCATGTGCGGGTATTTGACAACCGGGACCGGCCGGCGAGATCTTTTATTTTAGGTTATGTTTGAATTGTTTTGAATTATTGCTTTAGTTTTTTATTAGGTAATTTGATATTTAAGTAGCTGGGATTAGTTTTAATTAAATAAATATGGCCCAAAATATGGATTTCACCTCTTCCAATAACGAAAGAACCTATAAAGAGGCTCAGGTTTACAGCAGATGACGACTTAGCCCTTCTAAGAGAATTTGTTGCTTGTTGCCCTAAACCCACTGGTAGACGTTGAACAATAAAACACTGGAAATAAGCACTTTTAGCCCTTTAGTTTTAAATACCTAATAAAACAAAACAATTTCAAAGTTTAAATTCAAAGTTAGGTTAAGAAGTTTAAATAGCGGACGCGATGCGATCGGAATTCTTTCCGATCCGATAACTAAATGAAGAGAGTTAATACCACCTCACGTAAAGAAAATAACACCTGGCCTTATTAACGTCCATGCACGCTATTCGGTTTAGCGATATCTCTCTATTACGCTGTTTATTGTTATTTTACGCGAGTTTATTCTTGCGCACAGGAAATTTTACTCGTTTGCACATCGTCATAAAAAACAATTTTCGTACCACGAATTAGGGATGAGATTTTTATCTGTATACATATAGTGTACCTAATCTGTGATGGTGTTCTATATTTTGCTATAGTGTTTCAATTTATTACCATATACAAAGTGCATGTTATTGCATGTTATAAAAGAGTTATAAATCTAGAGTGCCATGGCTGTTAAAAATACTAATTTTTAATCAAAGGGCATTGGAAAAATATATTTGATCGTCTAATGCTTTTCGTATCTTAGCCGGTTAAAAGACGCCCCAATCGTAGTTTTAATCATATCTCAATTTTTTCAAATGGAACAAGGGGGGCTTATTAGCATATTTGGAAAAAGCATATTTTTACGAAAAATTTGGTACCACACACTTGGCATTTCGAGTCAAGTTGTCGTTATGAACCGCATGTTACAATTTCAAATAAATAAAGTAAAAAAATACCGAGGGAGTCATTTCAAAATCAAAGTGAGCCACTTTTGAGATGCATCCGGTACATAATAAACAATATAGTCACCAATAAAACAGAAGAATAACTTTGGTTGACAGTTCCCGCAGACTTTTCTAGTGTTAATTTAATTAATCCGAGGAAGAATTCTTATTCAAAGGGTTAGCAACTTGCGGCCATGCTGACGCAATGCCGTCTCTAATAGAACAGCCTAGGAGCGAGATTTATGACGTCACACTAGTTAGATACTACAGATTAATAACTATGTTGTAGAATACATGAAAAACATAATTATTCCTCGATTTGTTGTTTTGTATTTTGTATGAACAAAAAGTATGTTGTATGAACCATACAAATGCAGCAAATGTTTTACAATATGACTGAAATCGTACTCAGTCAATGTAGATAGTTTTGTGTTAAGAATAATAATTTAAAAAAATATGTGGTCATCTTTTGATAGTCAAGTTTATATTAGTTTATTAATTGCAGTAAAACATTATAATATATAAATAAATTTTGTGAATGCAAAATAATAATACATCACTATTAGTAGATATTGAATGTTTTTTTGTTAAAGATCGATTTTCGAACCCCAAAATTTAAAATATATTTTACATTTTTACCCATTATCTTATGTACCCACCTATTCATTGTATATTGTAAAACATTGCTGCATTTGTATAGTTCATGTTTATTAATAGTATTTATTACAATAAATAGGTATATATTATATTGTATTTATTAACTGTATATTATGTATATTTCATGTAAACTATAAAAAAAAAACATTTTTTAAAATACAAACCAAAAATACGAGGAATAATTATGTTTCCATGAATTGCTCCATATTTATTAATCCGTATTATCTAACTAGCGTGACGTCATAAATCTCGCTCCGTGGCTGTTCTAATAGAGACGGCATTGGTCTAATATTTAGAAATGTCAAAAGCTGATGACATTTTACTTTTTGTCAATTATGACATTTCGTGTTGATTTTTTGCAAGAAGAGGAAAAATTGTCACTTTGTTTTTATTATTTTCCTTTATTTCTTTAGTAAAAAGATTTTTTTTTTATTTTCCTTTTCTATTTCCTTCTCAATTTAAAGAATATCAGTAACTTTTTTGACAGAGGGATTTTATATTTGCCATATTGGTAAAAAATAACGGTCAAAATTCAAAGTTATTCATTTTATAGACTATATCATTGGTATGCAAAAATATTATAAACATTTTTTTTATGTAATCATTTTTTATAGTGAAATCATACAGCTTCAATTCAGACTGCAGCAGCTTCAGCTTCAACAGCAACTCCTTCGCCAAGAGAAGCAACGACTCACTGTCAACTTGAGACTCAGCTTCAGACGAGGAGTTTGGAGCAACGATTTGAAGCGAGAACTTCAGAAAATCGCCGGTGAAGAAGTTAGAGCTTTGGAAGAACGTTTGAGCTTGAGCTTGAGAGTTAGAAGACTCCAGGATAACATAGTTAAACAGCTTGAAGAAGCAGAACGAAACTTGAAGAAGGAATCCTGGATTCAGGAAAATTACTACGAAAATTATTGAGTCTTTTTACATATATTTTTTGGTATTTTTAATGAATCACTAATTATTAATGAATAGTTTTATAGTATAAGTGTATTATGTTAATTATTAAATATTGGACATCGATTATTATTGGTATAATTTAGGCAAATTGGAGAGCTGATAGACTCAAATTTATTAAATCGAAATATTCTATGTATTTCCGAAGAAGATAAATAGATTTTAAGATTAAACTGTAGCCAAATTTGAAGAAAATAAAGATTGATAGGTATATTAATACAATTTTTTGTACTACAGGTTTTTGAGCAATAGGGGTGGTTTTTTTAGAACTGTACTACAACAAAATAATTAGACGCAAATTGTACATATAGACTGTAAAACGAATAACTTTGAATTTGACAGTTCCCGCGGGCTTTTCTAGTGTTAATTTTATTAGGTTAGCAACTTGCGGCCATGCTGACGCAATGCCGTCTCTAATAGAACAGCCTCAGAGCGAGATTTATGACGTCACGCTAGTTAGATACTACGGATTAATAAATATGTTGTAATACATGGAAAACATAATTATTCCTCGTATTTTTGGTTTGTATTTTTAAAATGATATAGTTTACATTGAAAATATAAACATAATATACAGTTAATCAATACAGATATTATATACCCTATTTATAGAATAAAGTATTTGGCAGATAAAACTATAAACCATACAAATGCAGCAATGTTTTACAATATGGCTGAAATCGTACTCCATAGTCAATGTAGATAGTTTTTGTTATTAAGAATAATAATTTAAAAAAAATTATGTGGTCATCTTTGACAAGTTTATATTAGTTTATTAATTGCAGTAAACAATTATACTATATAAATAAATTTTTGTTGATGCAAATAATAATACATCACTATTAGTAGATATTTGAATGTTTTTTGTTTAAATTAGATCGATTTTCAAACCCCAAATTTAAAATATATTTTTACCATTTTTACCCATTATCTTATTTACCACCTATTATTATTTGTATATTGTAAAAACATTTGCTGTATTTGTATGGTTTATAGTTATTTGCCAAAGTTATTTATTACTATAAATAGGTATATATTATATTGTATTTTAATTCTGTATATCTATGTAGTATTTCATGTAACTATATCATTTCCCTCCCATAATTATGTTTTTCCATGTATTCTACAACATATTTATTAATCCGTAGGATCTAACTAGCGTGACGTCATAAATCTCGCTCCGTGGCTGTTTTATTAGAGACGGCATTGATCTAAATATTTAGAAAATGTTTTTTTTTTTATGTATATTTTTTTGTTCCAATTTTTGACATTTCGTTGTTTGATTTTTGCAAGGAGAGGAAGAACTGTCACTTGTTTTATTATTTTCCTTTTTTATTTCACGAAAGTAAAAAGAGTTACCTATCTGATTCGTTCAGGCACTCAGTTTAAAGAATATCAGTAACTTTCTTGACAGAGGGGTTTTATATATGCCATGTTGGTAAAAAATAACGGTCAAAATTCAAAGTTATTCATTTTATAGACTATAAGAACATTCTCTATAAGTTCGCCTAATGATTTTTTTTATAAGTTTATTATTTCCGGACTTGGCGGCCGTTTCATGAGTCCTTTGGGGTGGTTTTCAAAAAGTTTGTTTTACAGCAAATTTACCCGTATGAAAGTTGTGTTTTCCTCATGATTGTTTTTGTAGCTTGATTATTTTTGGAGATAGCGTCCAGTTCATGAACAAATTAGGTTAGTTTTCAATGATACTCTTTTTTTCAGCAAATTCACCCTAGGAAACTCGTTCAAAATAAGAGGTATATGTACACCTTTGCCTTATGAACTATATTTTGAAGACGACGACTTTACTTCATACGAAGCAAGAAAAGAAACCAACAATAAATCTGAGGAGCCAACGCCAGGTCCATCACACCAAAGACGATACAAATAAAAAAAATCATAATATTCATTCTCTTGATGAATTTCATGTTTCGTTTTGGGGAAATAAATACATATCACAGAGAAGTTTGCATGTAATTTTAATATGAACACCTTTTAAGTTGGTAAATTTGTAGAACTAAACAAAAATTATGAAACTACCCCAATTTGTTCATGAACTGGACGCCATCTCCAAAAATAATGAAGCTACAAAAAAATTCATGAGGAAAAGTTGCTTGTCCATTAATTATGAACAACTTTCATACGGGTCAATTTGCTGTAAAACGAACTTTTTGAAAACCACCCCAGAGGGCTCATGAAACGGCCGCTAAGTCCGGAAATAATAAACTTAAAAAAAAATTCATTAGGCGAACTTATAGAGAATGTTCTTCTGTACAATTTGCGTCTAATTATTTTGTTGTAGTACAGTTTAAAAAAAACACCCCTATTCCTCAAAAACCGCAAGGGGAAAATTTCCGATTTTGTTAATTTTACACTCAGAAGACAGTCGCTGACAAACTCTGAAAAAATCAGCTTGCCCGTAATTTTTTTATTTTCAAATGACAATTTTATTGGACTGAACCCTTAAGCCAGCTTTGGTTCGGTGTTCTTTCAAGAAATTAAAAAAATATTTATAAATAAACGTTTAATTGACAGACAGAATGAAAATACTCTTCTCCCTCCCTATTTTTATCGGAAAATGAAAAAGAAAACGTCGGAAAACCCTTCGCTGTGAACGCATCGGAATGCGACCTGATCGCGACAGCTCCCAAATGAAAATTTCCTCCGCGTGGAAAACGCGAACCGATCAAGATTTTCCACGAGTCCATTGTCGACGCCCCCAAATGAATTAATTAATTTATCGAACGCTCGATTGAGCCTGAAGGAGCCAAACTTCGACGAAACGTCGGAAAAATTGCGCTCCACTCGATTTCGAGTTCATTCATCATATACAGGGTGCGGTCCGAACTGTATTCCGGAAAAGTTCGACAGCATATTCTGCAGATAAAAATAAATAAAAAAGTTCGTATAAATGTATATCCTAAATTGCTTAGTTTCGGAGATAGAGGGTGTAGAAGTTTCATTTTTATATTGTTGACAATCTAACCTAACAACTATTTGTCAACATGTTTAATTTATGTCAATGAAGACAGGTATTGATAATGTCGATTCCAAATATCTCGAGAACCATTACTCGTAACGATTTTTACTAGGAGACCTTTTTTACGTAAGAAACGTCGTAAATGTATATACAGGGTTGTTCATCACATACGACACGGAATATTGTAGCTAAACGATTAGATTTTTACAAATTCTAAGTTTTGGATTCGTTGAAGGACTATCAGAGCTACAATTTAAAAATATTTTTACAAGATACCGAGTGTCCCAAATAAATAAAAAATATCAAAGTTGTATTTTTTTAAATGGAACACCCTATATATTATTACATTTTTAGTTTCTACGATTAAAATAAAGGTAAATTTGATTAAGGTTTATTACACTTAAACCTTACCGTTTTTGAAATATTTTCAATTTTGTGAAATTGCAGTAAAAATTTTAAGGCTTCATTTCTCCAAGGGTATCAAAGTTTTTAATACTAAATATTTACTGAAGTTTATTTACTGATCAGTTATTGTGTTGCAATAATAAAAATAATACTACCTTATACAGAGTGTCTAAAAATTTATTTTAAATAATTATTAGCTTCAAACGGCAATAACTTGTTTAATTTAAATGGAACACCCTGTATATTTTACGAGAATCAGATGCACAATTTAATTGTCTATCAAATTACATTATACCATTTTTTACCTATCTCTTTAAGTTTCCGTAGAAAATGCATTTTCTTGTAATTTAGAACTTATTTATCAATATACCCATGGACTATTGACATTTTAGATTATTTTTAAAGATGTACCAAATTTTTAAAGAGTACAGATACTAATATTGTCGATATAATTCGTTTATTTCGTTAAAAAATAAAAAAAACCGGTTTAAATATTTGTTAAAGAGGATCAATTAATATGATTCTAAAAATACTAAAAAACTGAATTTTGTATGGGCATTAGACAGTGTGATAAAAAGTAACACCTTAAAAATGATATTTCATTTTTAATAAATGCTTATTTATAACAACAGAGACTTTAATTTGATAACTTATTATTATATTGATTTCTGACTCAAATCCACATTTATTTATAATAATTTATTAACGAACACAATTAAGTATGTCATTAATTAGTATATGGGCGGAAATAATGGTGTTATATTTAATTAATGGTATACTCTTTTATAAAGATTTAAATAGTTTTCTTTTTGCATACAAATGGGCTAGTAATATTATCGTTTTGCTAAAAACGATAATATTACTAGTCTGTACATTTTGTACATTTGTTGCTTTAAAAACAATCTAAAATGTCAGTATTCCATGGATATATTGGTAAATGAGGTCTAAATTATAAGAAAATGCATTTTCTACGAAAACTTGAAGGGATAGGTAAAAAATGGTATAATACAATTTGATAGACAATTTAATTGTGCATCTGATTCTCCTAAAATATACAGGGCATTCCATTTAAATTAAAGAAGTTATTGCCGTTTGAAGCTAATAATTATTTAAAATAAATTTTTAGACACTCGGTATAAGGTAGTATTATTTTTATTATTGCAACACAATAACTGATCAATAAATAAACTTCATTAAATATTTAGTATTAAAAACATTGATACCCTTGGAGAAATGACGCTTTAAAATTTTGACTGCAATTTCACAAAATTGAAAATATTTCAAAAACGGTAAGGTTTAAGTGTGATAAACCTTCATAAAATTTACCTTTATTTCAATCGTAGAATCTAAAAATAGAATAATATACAGGGTGTTCCATTTAAAAAAATACAACTATAGCATTTTTTACTTATTTGAGACACTCTGTATCTTCTAAAATTATTTCTAAATTGTAGCTCTAATAGTCCTTCAACGAACCCAAAACTTAAAATTTGTAAAAATCTAATCGTTTAGCTACAATACTCCGTGTCGTATGTGGTGAACAACCCTGTATAGCAAAATTAAAATGGTATTCCACATTACCTAACATTACTCTATACAATATTACATAAATAAAAAGGAAGAAAATAATATAAATATAAGAACGAATATGAAAATTAATAATAATAATGATAATAAGGTCGTTTATCGTTCCCGCCCGCCCACGTTCCGGTACATCCCGGAATTATGATGCCCGGAAGACGCGAAGAAATGACAAGTTCCCGGAGTCAGTGGTGTACGCGGCATTGAGCGGGTCGAAGTGTCTAGTGGCCTAAATAGCGGGAATTCCTAAAGGGTAATCTCAATTTAATTAAACTATTTCAGTGTCTTCCCATTCAAACTATACATCGATTTTTATTATAATTTTAGTTCAATTTTATTTTTAGTTCGTTTTTATTTATTTAATAAAATTGTTTTTCTTATAACTCCTTTGTTCTGATAATAGGTATTATGCAGTATGTACCCGGATTGTTTTTACAAGAAGAAAAACTTATTATAATATTAATATTTTGAGGAAAATAAATTCTTGATAAAAAATTGCTCGTTCTAAAATTATTAATAAAATGATATGAAAATATGGTTGAATTTTTCCTAATCGGCGTTTCTATAATTTCGATTTCATTCTTTTATAGATGGTTATTATTAATTTTGATTAAAGTCATATTTTTTATGTTATTAAAGTATATCACATCTTCCGATAACTATTATCGATTTAAAACAGCCAAAAATATAACGCTAATTAAAATTCTATCAATAACAATCTCTAAAAGAATGAAAACGAAATTATATTATCATAGAAACATAACAATATTTTTTTATCTTGATTTTTTATTATGCTTTATAGTATTTTCTTGAAATTATATAAATTTTATTCATTTACCTACTCATTATTTACCTAAAGATTTACCCGCTATATTTTTTATTTCGTAATTTTTTTAATTTTTTTTTTATTTTCTACTTTCTATTATTTTATGTACATTATCAAAAGTTTGTATTAATTTATATTGTTTGCTAAACTTCTATACTTAATGGTTTTCAGGTCGAAACCATATAACAGTTAATCAACAGGTAAGTTATTTTTCGATTAAATTAGGGATCTACTAATTCACACTAACAGCTTTACATTACAACCGATATTTTTTAATGAAAAAAAAATACTTTTTTTGTGACAAGACAAAATCGTTTTTGTTATAATTTTAACGTTTTTCTAATTTATTTTGGGCTTTTGTTGATAATTATTATTTTTTTCTTTCTTTTTAATAATCTCTGTCTTTTTTAAAAATAACAACCGGGCCTTAAAAGTCTAGATGTTTTACCGAAATTTCTGACATTTACATAATATCTTTTCGTTAAAAAAAATTAATATCTTATTATTGCATTTTTCAATACACTGTAAAAGCCCTATACATATAGTAGCGTAAAAAAAAAGTTTGTATTATATTGACAGATATATAATATCCCATATCATACTTTCAATAAACTCTTCTGTCAATATATTTTTCATTGTGAAAATACTTAGAGTATTCAGATCGTATACCAAACTGTAATAAAAGTTCATCTTCTTGTATTGGGGTCTGAAATGATGTGGGTATTGCGGTGGTGTCGGAAGAATGTGCATATATATTATACAGGGTGACCAACAAAGTTTAAATACGTCTAGAGAAACGAGGCATTAAACGTGTTAGGTACTGCATTTTTACAAAACTGTAAATATTTAAAAAACGATAAAATGACAGTGCGGTAAACCAAAACCAAATTTATTTTAATCTTAGAAACTGAAAATGTAATAATATACAGGGTTATATGTTCTATTAAAAAATACAAGTTTGATATTTTCTATTTATTTCGGATAATCTGTACCTCTTGCTAATAATTTTAAATTGTACTTGCTTTAGTAGTCAACCCTGTATACTTTCTTCTTTTTTTTTTAATTTTGGCATACAGGTTAATTCTAGGGTGTAGAGGTTCGATAAGAAGGGATTTTTCGAAATTCCAGTTCCAAGAGGGTGAAACCACCCCTGAAATATTACAATATTTTTTATTAAAAAAACGGTCAAGTTTCCGAAAAAACGCTTAAACACGTATATTTTATTTTGTTTTTTTACATATTTCAAGATTTTTTAAAAATGTATACAGGGTGTTTCGAAAAATCTGGTCATTGATTAATCACGATCCTGCTTAAGGCGCTTGACGTAAAAAAGCTGATTTTTGGAAAACAGATTGACTTTAGGGTGTAGAGGTTCGATAAGAAGGGATTTTTCGAAACTCGAATTCTAAGGGGGTGAAACTATCCCTCAAATATTAAAATATTTTTTTTTATTTAAAAAAAGTATTTCGGAAAAACTCTTAAACACGTATATTTTATTTTGTTGTTTTACATATTTTATGATTTTTTATAAATTTATACAGGGTGTTTCATAAAATATGACCATTGAGTAATCACGATTCTGCTTAAACTGCTTGACGTTTAAAGCTGATTTTTGGCAAACGGATTGACTGTGGGGTGTAGAGGTTTGATAAGGAAAGGTTTCTCGAATCTCAAATTCCAAGAGGGTGAAAACGCCCCTCAAATATTACAATATTTTTTATTTACAAAACGGTTAGTCTTTCGGGAGAACGCTTGGACAAGCATAATTCATTTGGTTTTTTTACATATTTTGAAATTTTTTAAAAAATCATACAGGGTGTTCGAAAAAAGTTGAGTAATTTCTTAACCACGATTCTGCTTAAACTGCTTGACGTAAAAAGCTTATTTTTGGCAAACGGAGTTTTCGAAAGTCAAATTCCAAAGAGATGAAACTACCCCTGAAATATTACCAAGTTATATAATAATATCGCCAAATTGTTTTTTCTCATGCTGACATAAATGTGAGAAAATTTTATCCAGTTTGTATGTTAATGGAAATTCTTGCTTTGCTTTATCATCACCATGACAAATAATGATTAATTCGACGCGAACGAAGTCGCTGGTACACGCATTATAATTTTATAAAAATTTGTAAGACTATTTAAAATCACTAAAGCCCTTTATATTACTAAAATATTCATTTTTCATTGAAACTGTTACTTTCAGAAATATATTTTCATCTAAATAAACCCTTTTTAAAAACTCTATCTAAACAAAACCCTTCTCAACAAAGTCTTCTTTTAAAACTCTGGCATCATTAAAAATAAAAGAAATATCCTAATTAACAACTGAGTAAAATAAAAAATAATCACCTAGAAAAGTTTATAATCTGGATTTTTTGTTTTAATTCTTGTGTATTAAGCTTCATTTTAACCAATTCTGAAAAGAGTTTAATTTTTTCAAAGTCAACGAAAAAATAAATGATGATACTACAGCTCTCTAACTTATAATCAGATTTTAGATTGCTTCATTTTATTTAATTAAATACTATACGACATATTTCGTCACTATTATATTAATTATCAGTATAATAGTTCTTGTTATGATTTATGTTGTGTTTTTGTTAGCTTAAATAATTACTGGTAAGTTAAAGATAATTTTATTTTTATCTTAATGATGAAGAATAATCCTGTACTTGTATCAAAAACATAAAAAGTACTAGCGTGTACCCGCGACTTCGTTCGCGTGTTAAGCAAAATCGTGGTTAATCAATTACCCAACTTTTTGGAACACCCTGTATGATTTTTTAAAAAATTTCAAAATATGTAAAAAACAAAATAAATTATGCGCGTCCAAGCGTTTTCCTGAAAGAATAACCGTTTTTTAAATAAAAAATATTGTAATATTTGAGGGGCGTTTTCACCCTCTTGGAATTTGAAATTCGAGGAACCCCTTCTTATCGAACCTCTACACCCCACAGTCAATCCGTTTGCCAAAAATCAGCTTTAAACGTCAAGAAGTTTAAGCAGAATCGTGATTACTCAATGGTCATATTTTATGAAACACTCTGTATAATTTTTTTAAAAATCTTAAAATATGTATGTAAAACAACAAAATAAAATATACGTGTTTAAGAGTTTTTCCGAAAAACTCACCGGTTTTTAAATAAAAAATATTCTAATGTTTGAGGGGTGGTTTCACCCCCTTAGAATTCGAGTTTCGAAAAATCCCTTCTTAACGAACCTCTACACCCTAAAGTCAATCCGTTTTCCAAAAATCATCTTTTTACGTCAAGCACTTTAAGCAGGATCGTGATTAATCAATGACCAGATTTTTCGAAACACCCTGTATACATTTTTAAAAAATCTTAAAATATGTAAAAAACAAAATAAAATATACGTGTACGAGCGTTTTTTCGGAAACTTGATCGTTTTTTAAATAAAAAATATGGTAATACTTGAGGGGTGGTTTCACCCCCTTGGAACTGGGATTTCGAAAAATCCCTTCTTATTGAACCACTACACCCTAGAATCAACCTGTATGCCAAAATTGAGCTTCTTACGTTGAGTGGTTTGAGCAGGATCGTGATTAATCAGTGAGTCATTTAAGAATGTTATATATTAGTATAGATTATTTGAGGGACGTTTTCACCCTCTTGGAATTTGAGGTTCGAGAAACCCCTCCTTATCGAACCTCTACACCCCATAGTCAATCCGCTTGCCAAAAATCAGCTTTAAACGTCAAGCAGTTTAAGCAGAATCGTGATTACTAATGGCCATATTTTATGAAACACCCTGTATAAATTTTATAAAAATCTTAAAATATGTAAAACAACAAAATAAAATATACGTGTTTAAGAGTTTTTCCGAAAAACTCACCGCTTTTTAAATAAAAAATATTCTAATATTTGAGGGGTGGTTTCACCCCCTTAGAATTCGAGTTTCGAAAAATCCCTTCTTAACGAACCTCTACACCCTAAAGTCAATCCGTTTTCCAAAAATCATCTTTTTACGTCAAGCACTTTAAGCAGGATCGTGATTAATCAATGACCAGATTTTTCGAAACACCCTGTATAAATTTTTAAAAAATCTTAAAATATGTGAAAAAAGAAAATAAAAATCACAATAGGAGTGAGCCACTTTTAAAAATCACCCGGTATACAAAAATAGTTTATAGTAAAATACACTGAGCTAAAATAGAATCTAATAATTTTTAAGTCTAGATAAATAAATTTATTTAAATAATTTATAGATATATGTTAGAATTAGGTGAGTTTAACCAATGATTCATTTTATAACTTTCAATTTTTATTTACCTGTACTAAATTCTATATATAAATCTATTAAGAACTGTCTAGCAACTCCAAATAAATTGGAATTTTTCTAATAAAAATACTAATTTGTATTTTAGGATCAAGCAACGGATTTTGTACAATAACATTTGTCTGACTCAGATCTAAAGTTCTAAATATCTCTTCACTAATTTGGGCCAAAGGAATCTTTTTAAAATTCGACACGAAAACTGTAATTTAATTAGCAAATCACTTTTAAGAACTAAATTATCTGTAAAGTCCATAATTTCGTGGTATACTTAATTATTATTGGTATAATTATCACTGTGATATAGATTGTTAATTTTTATACTATTCTTACAAAGATTTTCTTATTTTCATTTGAAAAATATACATAATATCTCCAAAACAAATTACAGAAAACTTCTTTTTATTTAAATCATTTTTACCCCAGTCAAAATAAACAAAATAAAGGGGGTTAAATAACAATAATTCGCATAGAGCTAAAAATTGGTACAGGTCTTAAATACACTATTATAAACGATATCTGAAAAGTCTCCACCACTTCCACGTCTGCTAAAAAAATTCAAAGGTCAAAAATAATAAATAGCATTTTTAACTCGTCTAGATTTGGGTATTTTTTATCCTTGTATATCCTGTTTTTTAAATGGCCCCACAGAAAGAAATCATTTGGCGAAATATCAGGAGACCTTGGGGGCCAATTTACTGTATGATTTAGGCCAATAACGTTTCCGTTAAAACTATTGTCTAAATATTCCCGAACAGCCAGGGTACAATGTGCCAGGCAGCCATCCATTTGGTACCAAACTTCGTGATTTTCCCTAGTGGCATCATGTAAAGCAGGTAAAATATGATTTTCGAGTAGTTCCAAATAATATTCTGCATTTAAATTTAGCGTAAGAAATAATGGCCCGATAATATTGTGTCCGAATATCCCTGCCCAAACATTTACTTTCTGTGGATATTGCGTCCTTGTTTCGACAAACCTGTGTTGCTTTTCTTTGTTCCAATATCGATAATTTTGAACATTGGATTCATTATTTAAGGTAAACGTGCATTCATCAGATGAAACATATATTTTTTAAAAATTCCCTATCTGTGTTTGCTGTTTCCATCATACCTATCAAAAACAAAACGCCTGCCGCCGTATTTCGTCCCCATCTCGTAGCTCTTGGTGCTTTTCATATTTGAAGGAATAGTATTTATGTCGTTTCAAAATTCGAAACGCTGTAGTATGATCTATTCCTATTTCGTCCTCAAGTTTCCTTGTGCTGATCTTTCCATCGTTCTCTTCCACGCACAATAAAACTTCCAAGTCGGTATCATTTCTTGCATCTTCTCTTTGTTTCTGCCTTGCTTCACATCTGCAGTTATTTATTAGGGTACCTTTGGTTACAAATCTCTGGATATTCCTTGCGATTGTAGATTTTCCAGGTATCGGTCTATTCGGATACAGAGCAGCAAACATGTCCGACACCTTTTGATAACTATTTCCTTGATAATACCATTTAATCATCAATACTTTTTATTTATACAATATCTAAAGTTATTCTTTTGAATGTGGGTTTTAGTGCTCTTCAATAAACCTAAATAGAATTATTCTCTAAAATAATTAGGGAAGCCAATAATTGACCCCATTAAAATTTACATGGGATTTCCTATGTCCCGCTCGACGATGCAACACCCGGTATAGTAGATTAAAAAAAACGTTACAGGGTCCTGGCTTTAGTAAACATTACTATTTAAAGCTAAATATAGGAATATAGGAAATTGACCAATAAATTGGTATTTTTTCTATTAGGAGCATCTTTTATGAATATAAAAAGGAGTCGTCTTGCTATCGACCCGATGATTTTCGAATAGGAATTTAATTGACATACCACTCCAGATAAATGGACGTCTGGATGGGAGGGGATCTCATCGTTCTGTGCCAGATATTCCAGAAATAAAGTTTTGTGGCAGCAGAAAAAAGTTTTACTACTTTCTATTTTATTTCTCAATTATTTATTTTTAATTTTTTATTTTATACTGTATCAGCAAAACACACCTTTATACAGGGTGTCCCAGGCTGAGCGTGAATTAAAAGTTTCTAGAGAACTATAATATTAATTTAGATCGGAGATTTTTTGCAAAGGGATCGGGTTCCGCCATCTTGGAAAAAGTGGCTAAAATTCGGTTAATTTTTCATTATTTGTCAATAACTCGATTTCTATCAACTTTAGTGCAAAATATGTAGAGACCAAAATTAAAGAAGATGAAAAACTCTATAAAAAATTAAAAGTATCAAATTTGGTACAAATGTACCACTGCGGCAACACTGTTTTCTAGAATATAATCGGCACGGACATGATCCCCGTTGTCCACTCGGTGTAGCTTATATTGAAGGCCCGGACGTGGCTCGGTGTCTACTTTACGGAACGTGCTCGGCTCGGGTACGGCCTGGTGTACCATGGATCATCCTTTATTCTATATCGGACACAGTCTCGATCCCGGAATAGTTCCTGAGGAACTAGTCCTTTGAGAAACCAGGAACTAGTTCCTTTCATTCCGGGGTCGGAATAGTTCATTGGAACTAGTTCGTTCACGAACTACACACCTCTATTCCAGCTTGTCCTGATTTGCTCCCGCCATCGATGCACTTGCCTACTGGCCTATATCTTTAAAACTTAAATAAAATAAACAACACCATGTTTTCATTGCTTTCTAATACAGTACTATAACATTATTTTCTTTAAACAGAATGGACTGCGATGAGTTCAGAAGCCGCGGCAAGGAAATGATAGAGTACATCTGCAGCTACCTGGGCAACATAGAGGCCAGGAGGGTGACTCCCAGCATAGAACCTGGATATCTGAGAAAACTGATTCCTGAGGAGGCACCAAAGGATGGTGAAGACTGGGATAGTATCATGGCTGACGTGGAGAGCAAGATCATGCCTGGAGTAACCCACTGGCAGCATCCGAGGTTCCATGCTTATTTCCCTAGCGGAAATTCATTTCCTTCCATTTTGGGGGACATGTTGTCAGATGCTATCGGATGTATCGGGTTTTCATGGGTAAATTTGTATAATTATAGTACTTTCCCCTAGGAGATGCAAGACTTTGTCGTTGGTATGGAAACTCCTGGTCAGATGCTGGGGGGAATCCCCTCTAGCACTTGGCTTGGTCTAAGAAGCATCTCACTCATCGTCTTGTCCCTGACTGTAGTGTCATGGCCAGGGAATTGCACCAAGACATATAACGATACCGGGCGGGGCTACGGACAGCCTTAACCTTGGGGCACCCCATTGTATTTTACCCCTTACTTCTACATGCGGGGCTCTGTAGAAGTGGACCAACTGTCCCTAGCGACTCATAGGAACACTATGAGATCTGGTAATAATAGTAATAAAAACATCACCGGTGAAGCTGTGGGGAAACCCCCTAGCGACACTGGGAACAGTAACAATGAAAGTTCCAAGGGGCCAAACCCAAAGAGAACTACAGGAGAGGTGGCTGACACTTGCGTGAGACTATCCTCCGCAAGTGGCATACAAGCTACCACCTCCTCCAAGGGTCGGGAGCCTACCTCCTACCTCTAAACCCAACAGGCGACACAAGCTACCGTTTCGTCTACCCGGCCTGGATCGTAGCTCCTCGACTGTGAGGGACACGGGTCTCCGTAGGAAGTCCTGGGACTGTATGATGAGTTATAACTCAAGAAAGGGGACACAATAGATCTCTAAGGTCGGAGATATTAACCCCCCTCCCACTTATTCTAAATTGTAAATTCTAAAATTCTAAATAATTATAGTATTTTTATCAGTTCAGTTCGCTCAGTTCTATGCCCTATTTTGTTTCTTCTTTTCATTCACGACATTGTTAATATAAAATAGTAAAGTATGTCTTTTTGCGGATGACACTAGCTTCACTTAGAGCAACAAGGACGTCACGGTACTTCATAGGATTATATCAAATGACTTAATCTTCATTAAATCTTGGTGCGATTCGAACCTCTTTAGTCTCAACATTTCTAAAACTAAAGCTTTGTCGTATAAAAACTCGCCGCAGCCTTTTGTACTTAACAACACCACCGTTGACGTCGTAAAATCTGTAAAATTCTTAGGGCTTGTTGTGGATAATTCTCTGAAATGAGCCATACATATCGAAGCTTTATCGAAAAAATTGAGCTCTGCCTGTTTTGCATTAAGGTCTGTTTCTAAGGAGCTTAACTTGTCAGTGGCTAGAACTGTTTATTATGCACTTTTTCAGTCGCACCTCAGGCATGCCCTTCCAATCTGGGGTACGTGTTGTGCGACTCAATTTGACCGTATTTTCAATCTCCAAAAGAGAGCTGTTCGATATTCACTGGGACTGAACAGCAGAACTCATTGCCGGGACTTTTTTTAGAGAATTAAAAATATTGACTCTTCCTTCCTTATTTATATTTGAATCCGTTTGCCTAATACGTAAGCATGTATCAGCTTCTCAAGAAAGGCCATCTCACACTTATCCACTCAGGAACGCGGAGCAAGATCTTTATCTACCTACCCCACGCTCAGAGTTAGTTAAAAGTTCAATATTATACAACTCGTAAAAAAATGCACAATCATCTGCCATTTGAAATCAAATCCATAACATCATTTTCTTCATTCCGCAAAGCATTGAAATCTTATTTACTAGTAAATTTTTAATAGAGGATATGTCCCTCTTTCTCTATTGCTTCCTTGGATTTGAGGTCAATTCCTATTGTGAGGACCTGACCATGGGGTTGTTGAACATCGGGGTTGTTTTATATATCATTGCTCTTGCTTTGACTTCTTTGTATATATTTGCAAGTGTTTTATATATCTATCTTTATAGTAAGTTCATTCATGTAATGTTTTTTTAATTTTTTTTATTTTTTAGGCAGCCAGCCCAGCTCTCACCGAATTGGAGACTATTGTCTTAGATTGGTTAGGTAATCTTATATGTATCATTTTTTTTTTCTGAAAACTATACTCATATTTTCACGAATTTTTCAGGAAAAGCTATAGGCTTACCAGACCAGTTCTTAGCATTCAAAGAAGGAAGTAGAGGTGGGGGAGTTATACAGGTATAATTGAAACTATTTTTCTATTAATTCAATAAAGAAATGTATATTCAAGTTGTTTTTTTTTTCAACAATAACATCATATTTTATTTATACAAAATAAAAAAGGCCAGTTTAAAAAAATCTGATTGATGGTTGTCCCAATTTGAGCCACTCTCTATTTATTACCGTTTCCGATATCTCAATGGTGGGAATAGAATTTGCATCATCCGGTATATTTCAAATATTGTTCATGTTTCATTATCATCGCAGACATCTGCCAGCGAATGCGTCTTGGTGTCCATGCTTGCTGCAAGAGCCCAGGCTCTCAAAAGACTTAAACAGCAACATCCCTTTGTTGAAGAAGGTCTTCTATTGTCCAAACTAATGGCTTACTGTTCCAAGGAAGCTCATTCTTGTGTGGAGAAAGCTGCAATGATCTGTTTCGTCAAGCTACGCATTCTGGAACCTGATGAAAAGTCATCTTTGAGAGGAAAAACATTACTGATGGTAAGTTATATATTCTATGACAGTGTTTTTTTATATGTATATCTGTTAAAAAATGATATTTTTCATTTTTACAAGATTTTGTTTTACTTGGAAATTTAAAAAAATAACTATATTATCTTTTCTTAAACTAGAAGATTTGGATTTTTTGTGTTTTATTCCAGGCCATGGAAGAAGACGAAACAATGGGTCTGATCCCATTTTTCGTCTCGACAACACTGGGAACAACTTCCTGTTGTTCCTTTGACAACTTGCCGGAAATTGGCGTGGTCTGTCAAAAGTTTCCCTGCGTTTGGCTCCACGTAGATGGCGCCTACGCAGGTAACGCATTTATATGCCCCGAATTGAAGTACCTACTGGACGGCATAGAGTACGCAGATTCCTTCAATACCAACCCCAACAAGTGGCTGCTGACTAATTTTGATTGCTCTACTATGTGGGTAAGAAAAAAATAATCATAATTTAATTCAGATATACAATAGTTTACCGTTTATATCAGAAATTTAATAATATTCTGCAGATAAAAATAAGTAAAAATGTTTTTATAAATGTATGTCCTAAAATGCTTAATTTCGGAGATGCAGGGTGTAGAAGTTTCATTTTTTTTCGATTTTTTCCAAATAATTTCTGAAATAACGTCAATATTTGGATGGATATTAGTGTGTAGGTGTTTTTTGACATGAGGAATTTGATTTTGATGTCAATATGACTCCTACTTGTACAGGGCACCACCGTTTTTGAAGTGTTTTGAAGAATAATAACTTTTCAGTCGTACCTCTATTATACTACTGAGTGAAAAAAAAAGCCTTTTTGCAAGAAATAATTTTTTTTTTTCAAAACAAGGTCTTTTTCAGGTAAGGGATAGAATTAGGTTGACGTCAGCCTTAGTAGTGGACCCTCTGTACCTTCAACATGGCTACTCCGATGCTACCATCGACTACAGACATTGGGGAGTACCACTTAGTAGAAGATTTCGATCTTTGAAGCTCTGGTTTGTGTTGAGATGTTTCGGGATATCTGGTTTGCAGAAATACATCCGGTTGCATATCAGACTGGCCAAGAGGTTTGAGAGTCACGTGTTGAGTGATAAGAGATTTGAGATATGCAATGAAGTAAAGGTACATATTACTGTCAAAAGTACCATTCAATCGAAAAAAGACGGTGTCAAAGACGGCTGAGAAATGACAATCGATAATAATTTTGTTATTTGACGCCGTTTTTTTTTCGGTCATAAGGTATATTATAGATCCGGTTACTATTTCTAGTTGGGATTGGTATGTTTTCGACTCAAAGGACCGGACAAGCTCAACGAAAAACTTCTCAGCAACATCAACGCATCAGGAAAGATACATATGGTGCCGGCAAACGTCAACGACAAATACGTCATCAGATTTTGCGTCGTGTCATACAATGCTACCGATGCTGACATAGGTAATATCTATTTAAATGCATTTTATAAAAAAAATGTTTTTGTTTTATTTTATGCTTAGATCATGCTTGGAAAGTTATATGCGAATTTTCGGAGGACTTGTTAGAGATGCAAGCTGCGGAGAAAGAACATGTAAGTAATAAAATAATCATACATGTATAGAAACTTGTCTAACTGTACTAATAAAAAATGCATTGTGCCATATACTTCGGCACTACTGATATCGGAGACTGAGAAGTAAACTCTGTAAAACTGTTTCAGATATTAGCTTTTGTCAAAGCCCTGAGACTGTATTAGAGCAGGAATATTTTCAAAAAACTACATTGCAGGCAGCATTTCATGTAACAATTGGGAAAACAACGGTATTAGGGTAATTAGACCTCGCTGAATACGAATCTGCCTGTTGCCAAAGCGAAATTTTGACCGGAAGTCCAGAATCCAAGATGGCGGCCAAACACTATATTTTTGAATATCTCCATTGTCCGTTAGCTAAAAATAGTGATTTGTACGTCTGCTTGGGTTTTCTTTCGGATACCAAATACATTGCAATTCTTAGAATTTACTCACTTTAAGTTTGGACAGCATAGGTTTTAAGATGGCGCCCAAGATGGCCGCTGAATTTTATTTGCGGGGACTTAAGCGACGAAATTGGCAACAGGCAGATTCGAATTCAGCAGGGTCGAATTACCTTAAAAACGTTGTTTTCCCAATTGTTACATGAAATGCTTTTTGCAATTTAGAGAGAAGGAATTTTTAAAAATATTCCTGCTCTATATGATGGTTATAACTAAAGAAAGGGAGACACAATAAATCTATAGGCTTGTTGTATTTCACTTGATTTCAACAAGTTCCGACCGCAGCGCTTCAACGGCAATTATCAGTATGAAATAATATTGAAATCGTGGCTTTGTCATAATATTTAAGTATTTTAGTTATTTGCTAGAGCAGTTATTGGGACTATAAAATACTCAGGTACGAGAACACTTTTAAAATAATTAAATAATACATTTTTCGTATACTCACTATTGAAACCCGAGTCACAAATTAACTACAACAGATGCGAAAGAACACCGAATTACGCGGTCAGGTTTCTGTGACCTTCAGAAAGAGTTCATAGACAATCCGCATCAATGTATAGTTTGGGTTATTATTTGTTTGGGTGAAAATAATCTGCACCAATATGTTATCGAGGCATATAATCTCACAGTAATTTAATAGATTGCTCGTCATATTATATCCGTTCGTAGGAGATTAGGAAAAAAAAGATATTTATAGTATAAAAAATTAATTTATTTAACAAAATTTAATTAAAGATGTGACAAAATAGTTACTTTTCTATTGGTTCTATCGGACTGTTTTCGACTATATAAATCTTTATTTTTTGTAAACTTTAATGCATAAAATATTTTCAATCTAATACATAATTTAATGATGTAAATAAGAGGAAATTTCTCACATGGGTGGTCAAATTCTATAGTTTTCATTATATCAAACAGCCTCTGAATGTTTTCTTCAGTGCAAAACTCATCAAAATTTAATATAAATAATTTTTCCATTTTCAGTAAATAAAATGAACAAATTGTTCCACTTTCATGATCAAAGGCTTTTAAATGGGTAAATAATTTCGAGTTATCCAGAGATTCGGATTCTTTTGCAAATTTTAGACAAATATCACATTGATGTATTTGAAGACCCTTTTTAATGATGTAGTCAAACATAATTAAAGGCATTTTGAGTTGAAAACATTTCTCAGAGGCTGTTTGATATAATGAAAACTATAGAATTTGACCACCCATGTGAGAAATTTCCTCTTATTTACATCATTAAATGATTTATTAGATTGAAAATATTTGATGTATTAAAGTTTACAAATAAAGATTTATATAGTCGAAAAAAGTCCGATAGAATCAATAGAAAGGTACTATTTTGTCACATTTTTAATTAAATTTTGTTAAATAAATTATTTTTTTATACTATAAATATTTTTTTTCCTTATAAATAAACACATTTGTATCCCATTTTAAATAAGATATACAAATTACCAAAACTTAGAAATAACAGTTCAAAAGTTCAACAAAAATCCTACACCCGTTTTTAAAAAGAAACATATAACCACGCACTATGTCATTCCAGCAAGCGAATACGACACAGCATAGGTTTCCGGACTAAACGACTGGTGTATTTACACCACTCAATAGGCGTGTGGGGTTTGCCGAGCGGTTTCCGATGCAGTCGCTTTCTTTCGCATCTGTTATAGGTAATTTGTGCCCGAGTGTTTGTAGATACTAGTTGTTTACGATATTCGAGCCTAATAACGATTAACTTCATCCCACATTTCCAAAGAAAGCCACTCCAAATCTTAATCAGGAAACAAAGACAATAAAAGTTTGATATACATTTGTTGTCTACTTTCAAACGTAAAAACCATAGAGTTAAGTAAAAACTTTATGGCATTTAAATGCAGATTGAACTTTGCTCTACACGCTCATTAAAAAAATACGTAATTAATAAAATATCGGATGTCAATCTCAGATCGTTTATTTTCATTAGAGCGAATAAAACACAAACAAATTATTCTCTTTACACCATATGCGACTTAACAAACATATATTTTTACATTATTACAACCGCTTTCTGCGTGGAAAATCTCATACTATACCATGATTCTCTACTGTTTGTTATTAATAATTCTATTATAATAAAAACAAACAGTAACCAACATAATTTACACATCGGTGTTGGGAGTGATGTTTATGTTTCGTATCGATGTCAGATGATATGGACCACGTAATAAAAAATGTTACGTCATGAAGGAGCGCGTTGCGTTTTTACAATATCGTCATGTGCTATAGAAGATAAAACAGGAAAATTTCATGACGTAAAAGTAAATATTGTACTTACAAATTAGTAACTTGTGTGATTATAGTGGATTTTAACTAATATCAAATAAGTTCTTTTTACTTTTTTGAGCATTACTTATTACTTTTAATTCCAACATTTTACAACGAATCTTTTCCTGTAGATATTATATTTTATAATACCTATAATGTAACTGAAGTTGTCTGTATGTAATTCCTAAATACGTTGATGTACAGTGTGGACAAAGTAAAAACCATTTTCTATTGGAGATTATGAAAACATTTCCAAAGCACCTTTTTACGTAGAGTTTAATGGCTGTGAAAAATTGATTTTTTATTTAGGACACCCTGTATATTCTCAATTAACTGAAAAGGACTTAAAATTGTCTTTCCAAAAATATAGCACAGTTGATATTTTGCTTGAGTAGGCTTATTGTATATTGTCAGTCATTGCTCTAATACAAGTTTATATTTATGTAAAAAAAAAACATTAATTTTCATTTATTTGACTGATTTTGTTCAGTTCATATTGGGAAAATTTTATATGACATGAACTATAGCAGGAACGGTATTTGACAAATTGCTTAAAAATGTTGACAAAGTTTCAGGACTATCAGAAGATTATTGATTGGTTCAATGAGATGTATTTGTTTTTAAGATCTAGACATAGCATATATGACAAAAGCATGCAGGCAATTTTTATTTTTTATGAATGCTTTCTTTCAGTTTTAAAAGTCTCACAAAAAATGAGATTATTACAGATACAGAGTGGTCCAGCTTATTGTAAAACCTTTTTTAAGAAGTAATTTCTGCTAATACCTAACGAAGTTTATTAAAAACCACATAGAAACGACAACAATCAATATAGTTTTGTTCTTGTTGTTTAGGAACTACAAGATGAAGTCTTTGATCTTCTTGAACGCAAGAAGAGAGAAACTTTGGCCCACAAAAGAAGTTTCTTCGTTAGGATGGTTAGTGATCCCAAGATTTACAATCCTTCCATTGCCAAAGCTTTGCCATCTACTAGAAGACATCTGACTCAACCTTCAGCAGAATCCCCTGATAATAACATCACTATTCAGCCTCCAGCGTAAGTAGATAATATTCTAACTGCAGAGTGTTTATACCCAGCCGGCCCACTTACAATCACTTGCATATCTGCTTATCTACGGTACTTATCATGTAACAAGTTAACCTCCATTAAAGCTTCGTGCTCTGACTGTTGACCAGCTGGTAATAAATATGCTGTGATTATATATATTTTGAGTCTATACAGGGTTGTTCACCACATACGACACGGAGTATAGTAGCTAAACGATTTTTTTTAACGATATAGTAGCTAAACGATTTTAGTAGCTAAACGAGATTTTTACAAATTATAAGTTTTGGGTTCGTTGAAGGACTAGTAGAGCTACAATTTAGAAATAATTTTACAAGATACAGAGTGTCCCAAATAAGTAAAAAATGCTATAGTTGTATTTTTTAAATGGCATGGGATGGCCCTGTAAATTATTCTATTTTTAGATTCTACGATTGAAATAAAGATAAATTTTATTAAGGTTTATCACATTTAAACCTTACCGTTTTTGAAATATTTTCAATTTTGTGAAATTGCAGTAAAAATTTTAAGGCTTCACTTCTCCAAGGGTATCAAAGTTTTTAATACTAAATATTTACTGAAGTTTATTTATTGATCAGTTATTGTGTTGCAATAATAAAAATTATACTACCTTATACAGAGTGTCTAAAATTTTATTTTAAAAAATTACTAGTTTTAAACGGCAATAACTTGTTTAATTTAAATGGAACGCCCTGTATATTTTTGGAGAATCAGATGCACAATTTAATTGTCTATCAAATTGTATTATACCACTTTTTACCTATCCCTTCAAGTTTTCGGAGAAAATGCATTTTCTTATAATTTAGACCTCATTTATCAATATACCCATGCAATATTGACATTTTAGATTGTTTTTAAAACAACAAATGTACAGGCTAGTAATATTATCGTTTTTAACAAAATGATAATATTACTAGCCCATTTGTATGCAAAAAGAAAACTATTTAAATCTTCATAAAAGAGTATACCATTAATTAAATATACCACCATTATTTCCGCCCAAATACTAATTAATTACATACTTATTTATGTTCGTGAATAAATTATTCTAAATAAATGTGGATTTGAATCAGAAATCAATATAATAATAAGTTATAAAAGTGAATGTCTCAATGAGACGGTCAATCGTTTGATAAAATGATTGAGCCAATCGAGTGAATCAATCATTGACGGTCGCTTCAATCAACCATGAATTTTTGGATCAAAATGCAGAGTTTTCGTTTTTAAGGTACAGTTCCCGATGTGTTCCTGTTTTTGTAAAATTTTTAGTAGTAAAATAGATTTGAAATAGTGTGTGTTGAAACGATGGTATCAAATACAGATTTAGGCTTCCTTGACAATTTTTTCCAACGCCGCGCTTTTTTTATTTCTATTAAAGTAGTCTTCGTAGTTCCGAATTCGTTTCGGTGTTGTCGGCGAGCGTAGTCCTCCATGATTGCTGCCGGGCGCCTGACTGACGGAAAGCGGAAAGATTGATCAAAACGCTCCTACACGGTCCAGCGCCCTCTTCAATCTTTGGCGTAAATCAACGTTTTCATCAATGACATCAATGATTGAGTCAATCGTCAAACGGGTTTCTAGACGATCAATCATGCTTAATTCAATCGATTGACGCAATCGTTTGATCAAAATTATTGACCGTTTAGGGCCTACTTTAGGGGTAAAAAATTAGACGACGCGTCCCATCAATAAAAATTCGACAAATTTGCAAGTAGCCAATAAAGACGTACAGTACATCTACTGGATCTGTGTCTATGAACGGAATGTGGCCAAAAAACATTTAAATAAACAGCAATATATTTTATACGTCGATTTGACGAGTGCGTCACCGAAAATGGCTCCGCCCACTCATTTTATTGGCTACTTGCAAATTTGTTGAATTTTTATTGATGGGACGCGTCGTCTATTTTTTTACGAAAAACATCGAGAGAATATCGTTTCCCCTCTCACGGATACCCCGTAGCTACAGAACGGACAGACGTACTGTAATTATTAGCGATACACTATAATTACATTTTTGTTCAATGGCTTGATTTTATTGCTTGGAAATAACGATAGCAACTAGAAATAAAAGTGTATGTTGTTTAATTAAAATAATAATAAAACAAATGTTTATTTATGTACTTAATCGTCATGGGAAATGCTTGCTATGAAATCTCGTTTTTTATTTAGAAAAATGTATTTACATAAACTAGAAAGAAACTAGAATATATAGGTCAACTACGGAACTAGGAACTATCAATAATGATAGAAAGAGTTGCATATTCGTACCATTTGTTGGATTAAAAGTGGATAAGTAGTTTTTATTTTTATTTTTTTGGTTGTAGAAGAAAGTTATTTTAATTTTAAACCTTATTGGCTACATCTATTACAATTTAATAGCTTGGATATAATTAAAATTACCAAAATAATTGCCTTTATTTCATTATTTTAACGATTTTCGTCTTTTTGCAGGAGTGCATCCTGGATCAGTTGGCCTCTGGCTTTCCTATTTCAAGGAATCGCTGAAGAGGGCAGCACCAGCAATGTTCCCATTAGGTACGAGATGGATTTAATATCCTATTAACTGCGCCCAATTAAAAAGTCGTTAAAATTTAACTGTTTAATTACCAGGGAGTCAATTTTCAACTCTAAATGAATTCGATAACTTTATGAAACTAGTTTAATTTTATATTTAGTGCTTAAAATGGATATAGGCCTGTTAATTTTTTTTACATATTATAAAAAAAAACTTAACGCACTATAGATTAAAATGTATACATTTTGATGATTTTGATTGATGAGACTATTTTTTTATTATAAAATAGTCTAGAGAGAGGAATGACATTTAATTTTTTACATTTACAAAGAATATGTATATACAGGGTGTCCCAGAAATAAGTACAGATATTTTAAGGGGTGGTAGATTTGCGAAAAATCCTCATAAGGGTGTTTCATTGGTCGAAATATACTACCAGTTAAAATATCTGTACTTATTTCTGGGACACCCTGTAAATTTTTAGGAATAAAACTATTTAAGTACATATTCTTGCAGATTCCGTCACTTAGATACCAAGGTGAGACTAAAAACCAAAGGTGGTAATAATTCTCCGAGGCAATCACCCTCTCCCGAGGGAGAAAACAGCAGATCACCCAAAAGATCGCCCAATAATTCAAGAAAATCATCTTTAAATTCTTAAGTTGATTGTTGAAACGAAAATAACGCCAAATAGCAGCTTTTTGCGGACCAGCAAAATCGAAATTAGTTTTTTTAAGTTACATTGTGTCAAAAGATATTTTTGCTGCTTCAAAGTGTTATTTTAGTTATTTATTTATCTGTAATATATATTATTTTATGTATTTCATTAATTTTAGTAGCTGTTTATTGAACTCTAAATATTATATTTTAATTTATAACTGTGTGTTCCTGCAATTTGTGCAAGTATTTTTGAGGTGATAGATATTATACGATTACTTAAAATGCATGCACTTATTTCAAGGACACCCTGTATATTAAAACAGGTAATTTATGTGACAAACATAATAAATATCATTAAGTGGCATGCTTATTTAATTTCAGAATTTTATATAATAATTAAAACAGTATTATCTAGATGGTTGTATTAGGAAATAAGCAAATATAATAAATAAAAAAACACTAAAAATTATTTTATTCTTTTGTAAATTACCGAATATAGATTTCGTGTATTATACAACTAATACACAGAACAGGATCTCTACTACCTACCAAAAATCAACAGAAGAATCAAATTAGGATGGAGTGCATATAGAAGAAAAAATATCAAAGCTGTATTTTTTTAAATGGAACACCCTGTATATTATTACATTTTTAGTTTCTACGATTAAAATAAAGGTAAATTTGATTAAGGTTTGTGATACTTAAACCTTACCGTTTTTGAAATATTTTCAATTTTTGGGAAATTGCAGTAAAAATTTTAAGGCTTCATTTCTCCAAGGGTATCAAAGTTTTTAATACTAAATATTTACTGAAGTTTATTTATTGATCAGTTATTGTGTTGCAATAATAAAAATAATACTACCTTATACAGAGTGTCTAAAAATTTATTTTAAATAATTATTAGCTTCAAACGGCAATAACTTGTTTAATTTAAATAGAACGCCCTGTATATTTTAGGAGAATCAGATGCACAATTTAATTGTCTATCAAATTGTGTTATATCATTTTTTACCTATCCCTTCAAGTTTTCGTAGAAAATGCATTTTCTTATAATTTAGACCTCATTTATCAATATACCCACGGAATATTGACATTTGAGATTGTTTTTAAAGATGTACCAACTTTTTAAAGAGTACAGATACTAATATTGTCGATATAATTCGTTTATTTCATTAAAAAAATAAAAAAAACTGTTTAAATATTTGTTAAAGAGGACCAATTAATATGATTCCAGTATTCAAACTACATGAACTTACTGTTTGCGTTGATTAATAATAATTGCTCCAAATACTAAAAAACTGAATTTTGTATGGGTATTAGAAAGTGTGATAAAAAGTAACACCTTAAAAATGATATTTCATTTTTTAATAAATGCTTATTTATAACAACAGAGACTTTAATTGTGATAACTTATTATTATATCGATTTCTGACTCAAATCCACATTTATTTAGAATAATTTATTAACGAACACAATTAAGTATGTAATTAATTAGTATATGTGCGGAAATAATGGTGTTATATTTAATTAATGGTATACTCTTTTATAAAGATTTAATTAGTTTTCTTTTTGCATACAAATGGGCTAGTAATATTATCGTTTTGCTAAAAACGATAATAATATTACTAGCCTGTACATTTTGTACATTTGTTGCTTTAAAAAAAATCTCAAATGTCAATATTCCATAGGTATATCGATAAATGAGGTCAAAATTACAAGAAAATGCATTTTCTACGAAAACTTGTAGGGATAGGTAAAAAATGGTATAATACAATTTGATAGACAATTAAATTGTGCATCTGATTCTCTTAAAATATACAGGGCATTCCATTTAAATTAAAGAAGTTATTGGCGTTTAAAGCTAGAAATTATTTAAATTAAATTTTTAGACACTCTCTATAAGGTAGTATTATTTTTATTATTGCAACACAATAACTGATCAATAAATAAACCTCAGTAAATATTTAGTATTAAAAACTTGGAGAAATGAAGCCTTAAAATTTTTACTGCAATTTCACAAAATTGAAAATATTTCAAAAACGGTAAGGTTTAAGTATAATAAACCTTAATCAAATTTACCTTTATTTTAATCGTAGAAACTAAAAATGTAATAATATACAGGGTGTTCCATTTAAGAAAATACAACTTAGATATTTTTTACTTATTTGGGACACTCTGTATCATGTAAAATTATTTTTAAATTGTACCTCTAATAGTCCTACATCGAACCCAAAACTTGAAATTTTTTTACACAATACTCCGTGTCGTATGTGGTGAACAACCCTGTATATCCTCTAATACGTATTTATTTAACATTATTAATAATACAAAATAAACGGCATTCTTGTTTAAACATTCTGCTGAAAGCTTAACAAATACGAGAAAAACCCTAGAAGAATAGAATTTCTTGATTAATATGCAATGTGCAACAGAAAATACGCGAAGGACGTCAAGATAATGCAAATAGAAACAAGTACAGATGAAAAATTCCCAGAATCTTTTTTCATGCACGTGAATTTTTCTCAAAATGACGTTGATCAGATTTCCCAATCAAAATAATGAGGTTTTTACTTGGCTAAAGTATTTTTTTCTTTTTGAATTAAATTTTTTTCTGTGATAGATTAGCACATAATTAAAGGGAAAATTTCTTATGTAATTGTCTTGGAATTTAATGATTATTATTTTTCATTTAATTAATAAACGAAATCACGATTTTTTTCATTCTTTTGTTCCTAAATGGTCCCTAATTAAAATTGAAGATTCGAAATTCGAAAAAAGGGATAAATTCATAAACTATAAGATATATTGGCTATATAGCCAGTTATATTATATCCTCTTGATCACTAAAAATTAAGATTTTTGCTTCATCTACAACGAATAAGCTACAGGGGTGTTAAAAGCGCCCCTAATACTTTCGGGAAAGGGATGGTACTCAATTTGGCGATTATATTTGTATAATATTGGTTATATTCTTCTGAAGTTAGTATATATTGATCCATGGCTCTTTCAAACGTAAATTAATGTTTGTACCAGAATTTTTAAACCAGGAAAATTAATATCGGGTTTTATATTGAATTAGCATAACAAAATAACGAAAAAGATTTATGGATTCTGATTTTGCAGGTGAATTGATATTTATTGACTTACTAGCGTGTACCAGCGACTTCGTTCACGTTGAATTAATCATTTGTAATAGTGATGATAAAGCAAAGCAAGAATTTCCATTAACATACAAACTGGAGAACATTTTCTCACATTTATGTCAGCATGAGAAAAAACAATATGGCGATATTATTATATAACTTGGTAATATTTGAGGGGTAGTTTCAACTCGTTGGAATTTGACTTTCGAAAAATCCGTTTGCAAAAAATAAGCTTTTTACGTCAAGCAGTTTAAGCAGAATCGTGGTTAAGAAATTACCCAACTTTTTGGAACACCCTGTATGATTTTTTAAAAAATTTCAAAATATGTAAAAAAACCAAATAAATTATGCCTGTCCAAGCGTTTTCCCGAAAGACTAACCGTTTTTTAAATAAAAAATATTGTATTATTTGAGGGGCGTTTTCATCCTCTTGGAATTTGAGATTCGAGAAACCCCTCCTTATCGAACCTCTACACCCCACAGTCAGTCCGTTTGCCAAAAATCAGCTTCAAACGTCAAGCAGTTTAAGCAGAATCGTGATTACTCAATGGTCATATTTTATGAAACACCCTGTATAAATTTATAAAAAATCTTAAAATATGTAAAACAACAAAATAAAATATACGCGTTTAAGAGTTTTTCCGAAAAACTATAGTAGCTTATTCGTTGTAGATGAAGCAAAAATCTTAATTTTTAGTGATCAAGAGGATATAATATAACTGGCTATATAGCCAATATATCTTATAGTTTATGAATTTATCCCTTTTTTCGAATTTCGAATCTTCAATTTTAATTAGGGACCATTTAGGAACAAAAGAATGAAAAAAATCGTGATTTCGTTTATTAATTAAATGAAAAATAATAATCATTAAATTCCAAGACAATTACATAAGAAATTTTCCCTTCAATTATGTGCTAATCTATCACAGAAAAAAAAATTAATTCAAAAAGAAAAAAATACTTTAGCCAAGTAAAAACCTCATTATTTTAATTGGGAAATCTGATCAACGTCATTTTGAGAAAAATTCACGTGCATGAAAAAAGATTCTGGTAATTTTTCATCTGTACTTGTTTCTATTTGCATTATCTTGACGTCCTTCGCGTATTTTCTGTTGCACATTGCATATTAATCAAGAAATTCTATTCTTTTAGGGTTTTTCTCGTATTTGTTAAGCTTTCAGCAGAATGTTTAAACAAGAATGCCGTTTATTTTGTATTATTAATAATGTTAAATAAATACGTATTAGAGGATATACAGGGTTGTTCACCACATACGACACGGAGTATAGTAGCTAAACGATTATATTTTTACAAATTTCAAGTTTTGGGTTCGATGTAGGACTATTAGAGGTACAATTTAAAAATAATTTTACAAGATACAGAGTATCCCAAATAAGTAAAAAATATCAAAGTTGTATTTTTTTAAATGGAACACCCTGTATATTATTACATTTTTAGTTTCTACGATTAAAATAAAGGTAAATTTGATTAAGGTTTATTATACTTAAACCTTACCGTTTTTGAAATAGGTATTTTCAATTTTGTGAAATTGCAGTAAAAATTTTAAGGCTTCAGTTTTCCAAGGGTATCAAAGTTTTTAATACTAAATATTTACTGAAGTTTATTTATTGATCAGTTATTGTGTTGCAATAATAAAAATAATACTACCTTATACAGAGTGTCTAAAAATTTATTTTAAAAAATTACTAGTTTTAAACGGCAATAACTTGTTTAATTTAAATTGAACGCCCTGTATATTTTTGGAGAATCAGATGCACAATTTAATTGTCTATCAAATTGTATTATACCATTTTTACCTATCCCTACAAGTTTTCGTAGAAAATGCATTTTCTTATAATTTAGACCTCATTTATCAATATACCCATGGAATATTGACATTTGAGATTGTTTTTAAAGATGTACCAAATTTTTAAAGCATACAGATACTAATATTGTCGATATAATTCGTTTATTTCATTAAAAAAATAAAAAAAAAACTGTTTAAATATTTGTTAAAGAGGACCAATTAATATGATTCCAGTATTCAAACTACATGAACTGACTGTTTGCGTTGATTAATAATAATTGCTCCAAATACTAAAAAACTGAATTTTATATGATGAAAAACTAACCGGTTTTTGATGTATCTTCGTTGTTCCCAAGTGTTCCAATTCCACATACTTTAGTCTACTTGAAGGAATTACTGAACGCAAATGGTCTCGACAACAAAACTGTGACTGAATATATTGAGCTTACATCGTTAT